GGTTCCAGGGCGCGCCGCTGCCGGCCGGTTCCCAGCCCAGGGCCGCGGGCTGGGTACTCCAGGCCGCACTCACCCCGGGGGAAGCCTTGGCCCCCTCGTCCTCTTCGCCCCTCCAGGCCGGCGACGTGGGGCTGACGGCCAGGTCGCAAAAGCAGCACCGAGGGGAGCCCGCTCCCCTCGGTCGGCAGCGGATACCCAGGCCCAGGCCCCCAGCCTCAGCGATACGGCGGCAACCGCGGCTGGTAACCCGGATGCAGTGAGCAGCCCGGCGGAAGTGACGACAGCCCGACCTGTCCCGGCGCGGCCGCGAGCGGAGGCGTGGCGTCTTCTGGAGACCCACAGCCCTCCGCGGCCCTAGGCCGGCGCGGGCTACGGCGCATGCGCAGGCGGGCCGCCCCGCCTCCTCTCCGGGAGACCTGTCCAGGCGATGTCCCTGAGCCCCAAGGCGCCTTGTCACCTTTTGTCCCCCACTGGGAGGCGGCCCTGGAGTCTCCGGGTTATCTTTCTTTTTGCTCTTCTCTGCTGATCGTTCCAACAGATGTAATAATCAATAGATGTGATGACCAATAGATGTAATGATCAATATTTATAATAATCAGTATCCGTAATGATCAGTAATAGCGTATGTTATAAAATGGATGAACCGAGGGAGGGAAAATGCCGGAGGCCTCGACCTCAGAAGAACCCTTGGGTTTGGTGATGTCGCCACCCCCCATCCCCCTTCCAGAGTCGGCGCAGTCCGCATCCACCGTGGCGCTTCTCTGCAGGGAAAGATCTGTTTATTTTTTGAAGTGTTCGGTTCGGTGTGGACCATCATCCGATAACACAGAAAAATGGAATGAGAAAAGACATGCGAAACCCAAGGCGAGGCAAGGCGAGTCAGCAGCCGTCGTCGACTCCTCTGCGCAGTTCCCCTCGGGCTTTACCAAGTCCGACTCGCAGGGGGTGTAGCCGGGCGGCAGCGGCTCAGTCCCACAGCTTCGAAGACGGGCGGTTCCTCTGAGCAGGATCATCCCTCTCAGATATCTCGTCTCATTCCAAGCGAAGGCGCAGCCTTCCACCCTGCGGGTACTTCCATTAGGGAATGATCAGGCCTGAGGGCACAGGAAAACCCAAACATGGAAATAATGAACCCAAGCCACAGCATTCTGGAGCGGCTGCCTGGATTGGCGTTGCTTTGGCAACAGTCACTCGTTGGTGGTGGGTGATTAATCTCTCTTTGCCTCATCTATAAAATGGGGGGAAATGCCCACTTTTCAGGGGTTTTGTGAGATAAAGTCATACACCTTTGAACGGTGCTTGGCATGTTGTAATCACATATAAGTGTCAGGGGTCATTATTTCTATCCGATTCTAGCAGTTTTGTAAATCACTGGCAGAGAAAGCAAAACTGAGCAACAGAACTTTGACTAAACAACTTCTTGGGCCATGCTGCTATAAGAAATTTTACCTATGGTTGCAGATTTTTCACATTTACAAATATTGTTTATGTGGATTCTGCAGTGTGTAGAATTCCCCACAGGGTGGCAGAAAGTCATTGGAAATCATATATGGCTATGCATTTTTTTTTTTTTTTTTTGCTATCTTTAGTTTCTTCTTCATTTTAGTAACTTTATCATTTAATAGGCTTGATCAGTGTCTGCTTTTGGGGCTAAACCATTCTATTGGTTTATCATCAACTCATGAATTGTCTATACTTATTGTTAAAATGTTACAAACTACAGGTATGCAAAAAATCACTTTTAATACATTTATGTGTATCCTTTCAGACTTATGTACATGTGGGGGGGGGGCCAAAACACCCTGAATTATCTTTTGGTCCCGTGTAGTACAGGCTTTCCCTGCTAGATAAGTGTTCTAGGAATCCATCTACATCAGCGTACCAGTTAACATGTTGTGGGAAGCTGTGTTGGACTTCAGTTAAATTTTTTGGAGGGTCTTTCAAGCTTTTGCCCATTTCATGATGGGTGATTTACACAAACAGCCTGCCCATACTGGACTGTGTTCAGCAGCTTTTGACCAAAAACAGCAAGACCTTCACGCCCCACCCTCCCTATTCACCCTATCTCACCCCAAGCGACTGTTTTTTGTTTTCTCAATTGAAAAAACAGTCCTCAAATGGAAAGTTTTGCCAATGTGAAAGAGGTAAAACAAAAAACGCCAGTAGCACTAAAAGGCATCAAAATTAACAAGTTCAAAAACTTGTGAGCAGTGGAAAAAAGAGTCTCAATAGTTATATTGCTTCAGAAAGAGAGTACTTTGAAGGTAACTGAAACTTAAACGTAATAATAAATTCGCAAATTTTTAATAAATTCTGTTTTGGGAATCCCCCTCATATTATACAGGAGATGCCAAAAATGTGTACACATTTTAAAAGATGTTACCTATGTATTACTTTTTGAAGTTGAATTCAAAAGTACACATGGTAGCAATGTGTAGTATAATGTTTACTCAACTGTGCTTCCATCATTTTCTTTGTCCTGCCTGTTGCATGGTGATGCTAAAATTTATTTGATAAACATTACCTTTTGAGTGAACATCATACTTGAAACATGTATACCTTTTTTGGTACCATATGTATATATATAAATAACTATATATTCCATATATAAAACTTTATAGAAACAAGATACTTAATAGTTTATAATCTCCTTTTTTTTCTTTTCATTTAAAATATATCCTGAACTTCTTTTCAGGTTAATAAATATATTTTAATGTCATTTTTATTATGGATAATTTATTTATTAGCAATCTTTTATTGAACATTTAGGTTGCTCCATTTTTAATAGTTCAAAGTAACATTTCATAGAAATATCGGATTGACTTATTTTCAAATAATGTTACATTTTGAAATAATTTGCTCAATATACACTCCTTCAACCTCTATGCTCCTTCTCCGATGCAGTACCTCTAGGACAATGTATCCAATTATTAATCTTAAAGAAAGGTATTCAAGTTGGGCTCGGTGACTCAGCCTGTAATCCCGTGCCTTGGGAGGCTGAGGTGAGTGGATTGCC